GCTTCTTTCTTCTCCTTCCCACTGGCAGCTGCAAGCACACAATCATATCCTGCAGGATGTAGAATGCGGGAAGGGTGTCACATTTACCAGCCCCTTTCTTTCCTAAATGAACACAATGAGTGATTGGTAGAAAGTGATTTCTGCAAAAAACAAAAACTGAAATTAAGCGAAAACCCTCCGTTTCACTCACTGAGCTGCTTAGGCAAAATTTTCATTAAAAAAAATCCATTTTTTAAAACCTTTTTTTAAGAGGGTGTATTTTTTAATAAGTGTTCTTTGAATTTGTGTATTTTTCCTTTTTATGTACATTTGTTTGCTATAGTGTGGAGGAAAAAAGGGGTGAATAAGATTTAGGAGGGCAATACTTTCAATGTGAAGCTAAGCTCAAGAACACATTGACATGATCTCAAACTAGCAGGTGTAAGGTTCCAAACCCAAAAGTAGAAGCTCCACTTATTTGCCTCCTCACCCCATCCACTGCTACATTTGGCACCTTTTGAGGGGGGCAGCAGGTACCTGGTTTTGACAGGTATCCATTCCTACTTCCGGTTCAGTTCGCCACGGCAAACTGACCTAGAAGTTCGGCACCCCTCGTAGCCCTCTGGGACATTTCGCAGCCCATTCACAAAGCACAGCATCATTCGCAGCTTCACTACCGGTTCCCCATAGTCAAGATGATGGCGCTAGCACCCGACAGCCAATTGAAGAATCGGCTCAGGGTGAGGACACAGCTGGATCCCTGGACAGGTAAGTGGCGGGGGAGTGGGGGGGGTGGGGGGGCTGTGGGCCACAATTCTGCTTTAAGCTGGGCATATATAGCTCAGATTTCCTGATTTCTTCTGGGTTGGCTGAAATCTGAGACAAGGGTGTTGTCGGTACCACCCAGATGGACAAACTATGAAGTTAAAACCGAAGCAGCTGAATGGAAAATTGTTGGCCATACAGTGACTGCATCCTATCAGAAGCAGTCAGTATTCAGGTATTCAGACTTACACATGTACAGTGGTTGTCTAAATACTGGCAATCCAGATTCCTCTATTCACACTTTTTAGCGTGGATGGAAGAATGTACGTGGTGTTCTAGTTCATGGAGTGAGAGAAATGTATGTATGTATGACTAGCTTTAGCCTTTGAGCTTCCACTGACTGCAATTTAAATAGACAATTAAGCCTAATGCTGCATACAGAGAGTACAGCCTATCTGCTCAGCAACTGTTAGAGGGCACCAGTTCACCATAGTCCATTTTATTTATTTATTATTTATTTCAGGTAATTATATAGCATCATCAATTTACACAACACTTTACATATATATAGTACATTCACATCAATCCCTAACCCTCAAGAGGCGTACAATCTAAGGTCCCTAACTTACTGTCAGGGATCGCCGCGGCGCTGGTTTCGGCGCATGTGCACTAGACCTCCTCATATAGGAATGCGGGCACTAGGTCCCGGCCCGCCGCGGCGAGGGAGTTCGCGCATGCGCACTGGCGTTCCCGGGCGCGCACCTGGCACCAATGACAGCGCAGGGCGCGGTATTTAAACCGCCCTGTGCTGTCACCTATTGCCGAATGGTCTTCTGAGTATCCTGTCGTTCTGAACCTGTGATTGTGAGTACTTGACCCGGATTGCCTGACCCATTTCTGCCTTCTCCTGTCCTGACCCTTGGCTTGTCTGACCTCGCTCCTGAATGCTCCATTATAGATCTGACCTCCTGTTATTGACCTGGCATGTGACCCGACCATTCTCTGCCTGCTGCTTTATACCGCACCGACCCCCCGGCTACCGACTCGGCTTGTCTGACCTTGCTCATCCATCCATCCGTCCCTCTCATTGGGACACTCCGGTCTCCTCACATCAGACTCTTACCTTGCGGAAGCCCCTGGCAGTCCCCTCTGCTACTGGCGGGTATACCCGGTAGTCGCGACCTGGTCTCGGAGCGCTCCAAGTCCATCCCCACCATCAGGGGCCCTGGTGAACAAGTGCTCCGGAACTTAGACTCTGCGCTCCGGGGAAGCCTGACCAGTGGGTTACTAGAGGTGCTGTCAGGCGGTCTCTTACACTTACATTCATACATACACATACTAGGGACAATTTAGACAGGAGCCAATTAACCTACCAGCATGTCTTTGGAGTGTGGAAGGAAACCGGAGTACCCAGAGGAAACCCACGCAGGCACAAGGAGAACATGCAAACTCCAGGCAGGTGGTGCCATGGTTGGGATTGTTGTCAATCTGAGAACCCTTGCTTGCAATGCAGGAGACCTTTTCCCAAACACATCCACTGCAGGACGCTTGCTGATTTTTACAAGAAAGAAGAAGTCTGCATGTGTATATAAAAAAGTCTGTATTACTCCCAGCCACTAATCATATTTAAGCCTGCCTTGAATGTATGGGTGTGATTACAGGAAGCAGAAAGAAATTAAAGTGGTTGTAAATGCTCAAGGTTTAATTTTTACCATATCTATGCATAAAGGTAAAAAACCTTCTCTATGCAACACCCCCCCCCTCCCAGCCCCCCCTAATATTCACCTAAGGCCCCTTTAGATCCAGCATGAGCACTGGAGTCTCAGCTATCCAGGTTTCCCTCTCGCTTTAGCTGAGACAGCAGCGGGAGCCATTGGCTCCCGCTCCTGTCAATCACAGCCAGTGAGCCAATGAGAAGAGAGAGGGTGGGGTCAAGCCACAGCTCTGTGTGTAAATGGATAAATGGAGCATTGAGTGCCCCCCACAGCAAGCACCCGGCGGGGGACCTGAGAAGGGGAGGATCCAGCCTGCTCTGTGTAAAACCACTGCACACAACAGGTGAGTATAGACTTGTTTGTTATTTAAAAGAAAATGTAAGCCTTTAGGATCACTTTAAGTTACAAATCATAAGGTTTATAGATGTACACTTCCGGTGACCTTGTGAAGTGCTCTCTAAATGTTTAATTTTGGGATAGAATGTGAAAAGGTTAGAACCTTTGACAGGTTTTTCCTGCGGTTTGTGAGGAGAGTTCAGGCGCAGGGCTGAGCCGCGCTCTGTGTGTGAATGGACGCACAGAGCAGCGGCTCGGGAGCAAGCCTGCTTGGGTGCCCCCAGAGCAAGCTGCTCGCTCTGGGGGCAGGAGGGAGGGACCAGGAGCACTGGCAGGGGACCTGAGAAGAGGAGTATATGGGCTGATCTGTGCAAACCATTGCACAGAACAGGTAAGTATGACATGTTTGTTATTTTAAAAAATGCCTTTAAGAGCAACTTATGGTAAACTAATCTTAAAACTAAGGTAATGTTTGCCCCGTAGCATTGATAGCTCACTGACTGGTTTCATTTGCTGCCTTGGATTGGTGTCTAAAGCTGGCCATAGATAGATCGAAATTCAACTGGTTCAGCAGGAAAGTCCCGCTGTCTGAATAAAATGTCCCAGCTGGGGTAGATTCCTCCATCCACCTTGCTAGTGAGGATGGAGGTGTCTGTTAGATTTTTTTTTTTTGCTAAACCAAAAAGCAAAAAAACCCATCATAAACAAAAAAGGCATTAGTAAGTAGATAGGAAAGCATATCATATGTACTTGTTTTAACCTTCTTTTTGCATTTCTTCATTTAATTCCTGATTTTCTTGCCTAAGCAATTGATGTCATACATCCCAGGAGTCTTCAGGAGGGGAGGGGGGGTTTTCAGCTCAGCCAATGTCTGAGCTAAGGGCAGATGGATTCCAGGAAGTCACTGCTACATGAATCATGTGCCCTTACTCAGGATGGCCATGGCCAGACATACCAGGGGGTGTTTTTCAAAATGATTTCTGAGCAAAATAAAGCATGGAGATGTGGATGGATGGAGGAGTTTGCTTTGAATAATACAAATATAAAAGTATATAGCATTTTTGGTTTATGGTGCTCAAATTCAGTGCATTTTCACTTTGTCAATTTGGAATTCGTATTCTTCATTACCACACACCAGTTGATCTAACAAATCTCCTACTAGAGCCTTGGGAACAAATCTTAAACCAGTGTCTCCCAGGCAGCAGTCATGTGTGCCAACCCCATCCACTTCACACACGGTGAGTCCTGTGTGCGAGAATAAAGACCCACAAACATTCTCCCTCTGCAGAAGAGGAACATCAGGCCAGCTTGACCTTGTCTTCGCGCTCCATTACTTTGTATTATGAGGGTGTCATTCAGCCCAAACCACAGGTTTCCACCAGCTCTCCCAGTACGACCTGTGAGCACACGCCTATTCTATTTAGAAAGACTTGCTGGGAATGAAGACTTTTTATTGCAGTCATTCTGCCTGGGGTGACTGAGAAGTTGTAGGCACAGCCAAGTCCTTATTAGAAGAGAGGCAGGGGGCTGGGAAGAGAACTTACAGAAAATCAGGTTACTTTGATGATTCTGACAGAATGAGCTAGTTCACTGATGGCACGTGTTACAATGAACTCCTACAGACTGAACAATCATTAATTCTGTATTGTTCTCCAGGCCTCACTCTACAGCTTTCAATATCTTTCGCTGATGAGGGATTATTAGTTTAAAAGAACCTTAAAGGGTTACTTTACACATCTCAGTGTTTAAAAGTGTTACTAAACCCACAACAGTGAAATTAGTCTGTATATGCAGTAAAGCATGCTTGTTATACTTTCTATGGAACCTAACGGGTTAATCATTTGCATTGTGTAAAAAAGCTGTGTGATCCTTTCTTCTATGTTCCTCCTGTTTTTCAAGCAACCACCACTGATCTCCAGACTGAACTGTAGGCATGCACACGCTCAGTTTGGTGTATATTGCTAGAGAGGTTTTTTCTTTTCTTGGGAGAGTGCATGTGATCAGCACAGGGCCAATCAGCACTGTCCGGACAGAGGTCAGGGGATTTCCATCCTCCTAGAGCAGAAAGAAAACTCCTCCTACAAGCTTTAGCTAGTGGTGGGCTGGGCACTGATAGAAGCCACATGTCTGCTCTAACTCCTGATGAGAAAAGGTATTTAGCAGTTTATATTTACTAAAATAATTGCATTTCCATGTTGTGTGTACTGTGGGAGACCAGATATAGTGAATGCAGGGTCCTGGGAGACCAGATATAGTGAGTGCGGGGTCCTGGGAGACCAGATATAGTGAATGCAGGGTCCTGGGAGACCAGATATAGTTAGCGCAGGGTCCTGGGAGACCAGATATAGTGAGTGCGGGGTCCTGGGAGACCAGATATAGTGAGTGCGGGGTCCTGGGAGACCAGATATAGTTAGTGCAGGGTCCTGGGAGACCAGATATAGTGAGTGCAGGGTCCGGGGAGACCAGATATAGTGAGTGCGGGGTCCTGGGAGACCAGATATAGTTAGTGCAGGGTCCTGGGAGACCAGATATAGTGAGTGCAGGGTCCTGGGAGACCAGATATAGTGAGTGCGGGGTCCTGGGAGACCAGATATAGTGAGTGCAGGGTCCTGGAAGACCAGATATAGTGAGTGCAGGGTCCTGGGTTTAGTAACACTTTAATATAATAACATTATGAAGGAGCACCCATTTAAAAATGGGAAAATGGACAAAAAGCTGATGAGAAGGTCAGTTGGAAAAAAAGTCGGATCTCAGTGCTCTGATGACTTGCTCGGTAACAAGCAGATATCTCTTGCTTGTCATTCTCAGAGTGATATCTGCCTGTCTATGTCCACCCTTATCATACAAGTATATGGGAACAGTCGAGTTGCCCATCCTGACTAGAGGTGGAGCATGACTGTGGTTTCCTGTACCTCTTATCTTAATGCAAATCTTTAGACAGAGCTGATTTAACAGACTTTCATTAACATACACTATCCTGTAATTGCCTCTCAGCACTTGTTCAGAAAGATCACGGACTGTGCTATCTGGCATACCAATACATTCACAAAAAAGGCAAGGTATGCATGTAACAATATAGAGATGTTATCCTAAATAATTGTTAGCCAATAATAACTCCAAATGGAAAGTGACTAAATCTCACAATATTGTTCCTGGGATTATGGCCTTCCATTAACAAAAAAATGATGCACTGGAGCATCTGCAATTACAGTTTTCTCTTACTCCCCCTGCAAAGTTTCACAAATACCTGTTGATCCTGCCATTAAAGTCCACCTAATGCAGCTTCCTGTGATGGTTTGGCATTGTTGCTAAACTGCTCCTGAATTCCGATCAGAGTTGCCACTTTCATTTAGGATGTGCCTGCTTGCATTATAGGATAAAAAAAAAGGTTGCCGGAGGTGTGGCTATCAGTATTGTCACTGCTGATTGACAGGCCTGTAGCTTGTCAATAAGCACCTGGCCACACCTAGCCCAGCCCACTGCTTTCTGGTTGATAGCTCTGCATTTGCTGCTGAAACCCTCCCACTGTGAGCTGCAGTGTCTGGGAGGGGATAATGTGAGACACAAATGAAGGCAGGTTTGGCTCAATCAGGGAAGGTAAAAGAAGCATTTATGTTTACTTTATGAGCTTGTGCATCACATAGTAACAGGACTAGATACTTGTTCAGACTGCCATATAGCAGCTTTTAGGTGTACTTTAAATGGGAAATTGTGCATTTTTTTGCTTGGCTTTATGGGCAGGTGATGATATAGGAATACTGACTGAAGAATACAATGCAGATCATGCCTGTGTATTGCTCTTCTTACATATAATATTTTTCTAAAGGAGAATGAAAAGTTGCAATCAGGGGCGGATTGACCATTTGGAAACTCGGGCACTGCCCGAGGGCCCAGGGTCAGTAGGGGGCCCCATGAGATGCCCTTGGTACCTTTTTCATAGGCTTTTTTGAGTTTGGGCAAGGACACAGGGGCCCCATGATCCCCTATTGCCCGGGGGCCCCATGAGTTGTCAGACCGCCCCTGCTGCAATGGATGCAGGGCAGGTTTAGCTTGTCCACTATTAATATACCACAAAAGGGATTAGAACGTGATACAATGTTCAGCTACTCATAACAACCAGTTACCTTGGCTTGAACTAAAATCATCGTATTGTTGGCTGGTCTGGCTTTATTAAAAAGCCTAAAGGATCTGGTGCAGCTGAAGTTTAGGGGCCAGCAGGCCCTTTCTTTTATTATGTCATGCTTGCATTTCTATTATGTCTGGAGGATGGGGATGGCACAGTGATCTACAGTGAAGGATTTGACCCCCTGCTGATTTTGAATGTTTGCCCACTCACAAAGAAATGATCAGTCTAAAAATCGAATGGTAGGTGTATTGTAACACTGAGAGATAGAATAGCAACAACAAATTCAAAAGAAACGCATGCCTAACAAATTATGCACTGATTTGCATATTCAGCTGATAAATAAGTATTTGATTCCCTTCACAAAACATGACTTAGTACTTAGTGGCAAATCCATTGTTGGCAATCACAGAGGTCAGACGTTTCCTGTAGCTGGCCACCAGGTTTGCGCACATCTCAGGAGAGATTTTGGCAGGATTTCAATCCTTGTCGGTGTAGTGTGTTACCAATTGTTTTCTTGGTGACCGTGGTCCCAGCTGCCTGGAGATCATTAACAAGATGCTCACATATAGTTCTGGAATGATTCCTCACTGTTCTGATGATCATTGACACTCCACGAGGTGAGATCTTGCATGGTGCACCAGACCTAGGGAGACTGACAGTTGTTTTGTGTTTCTTCCATTTGCGAATTATTAAACCACTATTGTCACCTTCTCACCAAGCTGCTTGGCGATAGTTTGGTAGCCCAGTCCAGCCTTGTGTAGGTCTACAATCTTGTCCCTGACATCCTTGGACAGCTCTTTGGTCTTTGCCATGGTGGAGAGTTTGGAATCTGATTGTTTGATTGCTCCTGTGGACAGGTGTCTTTTATACAGGTAACAAAATGAGATTAACAGCACTCCCTTTAAAAGACTGCTTCTAATATCATCTTGTTACCAGTATGAAAGACACCTGGTAACCAGAAATCCTCATGAACATGCAAATCCGTGCATGATTTTGTAGACATGCATTTCTTTTGAATTTGTTGTCGCTATTCTGTCTCTCAGTGTTACAATACACCTACCATTTGATTTTTAGACTGATCATTTCTTTGTGAGTGGGCAAACATTCAAAATCAGCAGGTGATCAAATACTTATTTCCTTCACTGTAGCTGTCAACTGCCCTTCTTTTGAAAAGAGAGTTCCAAATTTGGAATCCAATGCCTTTGTCACTCTTTCCTCCCTAAATGTCCCACTTTAAATAAATACATTTACTACTTAAAGGGAATCTAAAGCTAACCCCTTTTTAATTTTTGATTGAGTAGGGAATTATTAGAACACCTGTTAAATCTTCATTGCTGATTGTGTATTTAGTACATCATTTCTATTAGTTCGTGGGACCACTGAATCTGAATTGTAAGTGGCTAACAGAACTGAAATAGAATCACAACTGTCTGAGAGGGGATTTCTGTCACTTTGGAAAGTTTTTCTCTCGTTTCCCATTGTGTCTACAGGACAGGAAGTGAAGAGAAATCTACCTAAGGAGACTAAAATGGCCAAAAAGACTTAACCAGAGTTTTAACCATTCCCTATTCTATCAAAATAAAAGAAGTTTTAGCTTTATATGCAATTTAACTTTTAGGGTCCATGCACATTGGCTTAAAAAAATGCCAGTGCTCTTGGCAGAAAAAAAATGCAAATTTTGAGCTGTTTTTTAATAGAAAATTTAGGTGCATTTTTTTCTGACAGAAAACTGCTCTCAAAAATGTAAAACAGACGGGTTGTTTTCTGTCTCTAAATGCTGAGCTTATAATATGCCTCTAAAAATCCTAATGTGCATGGACACATAAGATAACATTAGCTGTTTCTACAGGCAAAGTGCTAAACCCTTCGAGAAGCAGCATTTTATAAGCCAGTGTGCATGGACCCATAAAACAGTTATCTTCCATCTTAGTTACAGCTTCTAAGATGCTGCAATGCTTATCTTTAAATCATAGAATGAATGAAAATAGTGGTGAGAAATGACCCAATGTCCTCAAAGTGTAAGTTCACCGATTAAAAAAAAAGGAAAGGTGAATTATCAGCGTACACTCTCCCCACTGTACTTACCTCGATCGGTGATGAGCTATTAGTGCCCATCTAGTGAACGTATCGGTCTGGGTATTGAAATCCTCACTCTTCCACTCTTATTTCTGCAGGGTTTCCTGGATGGATCACAATGATTTTGATTGATCAGTGCAAGCACAGAGCATCAGTCTGATCAATCAGTGCTGCACAGAGCATCAATCTGATCAATCAGTGCTGCACAGAGCATCAATCTGATCAATCAGTGCTGCACAGAGCATCAGTCTGATCAATCACGGAAGTGCTGCAGAAAGAAGAGGGAGAAAAGCGGGAATTTGAAACCCCCAGACTGGTACATTGGCTGCGTGGGCACTGATAGCTCATCACTCGCGAAGGTAAGAACAGTGGGGACTGGGGAGGGGGCAGTGGGGAGGGTGCACGGTATTAGTTCACCTTTTTATTTTATTAGGAAAAGGTCAACTGACCCTTTAAAGCCCAGTTACAGTCATATTGATCTTTTTTTGTATTGTATAGAGTGATGACAGTTAGAAACTCCACTACATTTTTACCACTGTGCCCCCACTGGGGAGATTCAACTTCACTTTCTGTCCCAGTGACTACATGGGAGGTGGGGGGAAACCTCTCAGTTAGGAAAAAAAAAAAACCTGAGAGTGGCTCTAACCCTTTCCCATTGTACTAAAACAAGTGCAATATATGCTCTCTGTAATTGCAAAGATTAATGATTGATTGATAAACAGATGGAACAAACGATTGCCTATGGTAGACTATATAAGCAATTAATGTTCCACAATCACACAATTTTCCAGTTTTGTGGGATTAATCGCTACTTTGTACTGCTTGTGTATCTTACACCACAAGAACAGGTTGTTCCATTTGAGTAGCGTTGAAACAGTACCCTTAGCAATTAATCACCAATAAACTACTAGGAATTGCCTGTGATCTTCTAGCCTTAGTGAATTGTATGTTTTCTAGCATCCTTATTTTATTGAGAGTTTATTTATTGTAAGTTTCATGAAAGTGTGTCATTAGCGTTGTGTCCCACTTTCCTATCTCAAAAAGCTGGCAGGTATGCGGGAAACATGACCATCACAAAACCTTCAAAGCCCATTCAGACATTGGCATCCTGGTAAGTTGCGTTATCGCAATGTACCACAGAGGAAAAATGTGTTTCAATTGTTAAACATTTTTCCTTGTTTGCAGGATTCCTGTAGCTAGTTAATCAAATCTAGTGTCTCTTTCAACAAAACAAAACTAATAGGCAAAAGATGTTTAATTTTCACAACTGATATTCCATCACGCATTTCATGTGCATGTAGTCTTTCCTACAATTCTATTATGAAGAGATGGGAATGTCTGATAAGAAATGGAACATGCACCATTTATCTTCATATGTGCTTCATATGCCACAAGATCACTTCATGCTTACCTGAGACAGACAAAAGTGAAATACGCTAGAGC